ATTCTTGTAAGTACTTCTAATTTATCATTCCTCACTACTATATAATATTCCAGGGAGTCACTTTTTATTAACCAGAAAATTGGATTTGCCAGAACATCTTTATCCCCCAGCCAAGACTGCTATACGAGAAATATTATCTTCGTTTTGCACCGAGTAAATCACTCACTAAATTGCGACCTTATGATGCTATTACAGCGATAACAATGGCACATGCCTGCTTGCCCACACCAAGAATTATGGCAGGAAATTACGGTAGGAAAGAGCTAAAAGCAAGTCGTTTGATTTTTTTATGGCTCTATGCTGTGTGTACACGTGAACATGTGCATGCGTGCTTTGGGCTATATTGTCCTTTTCTGTGTTTTAAATAAATATTCCAATTTGCATAATTGAAGTGAATTTCTGTGGTGCATGAAAGTATAAACTCGGGGCTATGATGTCAATTAGGACAATTCGTATCCTGCAGTAAAAGCCTTGGGTTTAGAGGCAGGCGATCCGCATTCGAGTTTGGGTTCTGCCTCTTGCTGAGTGATGTCAGCCAAGCCGTCCAAACCCTGCTGTAAGGCAGAAAATAATAAAACAGGTTGTTGTGGGAATAAGATGAGCTAACAGTTAGCCATACTAGAGGAATGTAGTATGGTGTCATTTTTTGTCTGTTTCAAAGAGGAAGTTTTAAAACTGAATGACGTTCGCGGACATCTGAGTCCCTGCTCTGGAAGGTGTCCCTTTCCCATCCAGTGCACGATAAGACCTTACTAATTGAAGTGACACCATTTTCAGCTTAGTGCCCCAGTAAGGCTACCAACTGGCTAGGGCCAACTGGCACCCTACATTTTTATTTTTGCCATTCCTGATTTGGGCCCACTGAGGAAGAACAGAGGTGAACACGTCCCCAGATTTGCCCTCAGAAAGCCTTCAGTCATGCGGGAGAGACAGACATAACTCCAAAACAGTGCAAAGTGTGATCTGATGATAAATCATCAGAGTGCTAAGGATACACAGAAAAATGAGAGACTGGTCTTATTGATGGTCATTATTGAAAGTTTTTTGGAGTTTGTAGCATTTCAGCTAAGGATTCAAGGTCAGAGATGATTCGGGGGGGGTGTAAATGCAGTAAAGAACATTCCAGGGAAGGGGAAGGGCATAATCAAGTTTAAGATGTGAGATGTGCGCAGTATGTATGGAAAACATCTCAGTGTGGCTTACATCCAGGCATAGCATACTGTAAGGTAAACAGGATACACTGAACATTTTAAGAGTTTCGAGTATTTTCCTCAGCTGATGCTATTACAATTAGTATGATTACTAGTACTAATTGGTGTTTATTGAGTACTTACACGGTTCTAGACACCATAGGTGCATTATCTCACTTGAGAACTATGAAAGTCTATGAAATAGTGTATCGGTCAGTTATCGCTGTGTAACAAACTATTCCAAAAGTTGGGGGCTTAAAATAACAATCATTTATTATCAATCGTGAGTCTAGAAAGGTTTGCAGATCTAATCCAAGAAGGCCTAAGCTGGACAGGTTCTGTTGAATGCTTTCATATCCCTTCAGCAGGCTAGTTTGGGCTTGTTCACATGCAAGATACAGGATTCTGAAGTGTTAACAGGAAAATGCAAAGCCTCTGAGGCCTAGGTTTGGAGTTGGCACACAGTCCCTATCTTGTTTGGCCAGCCCAGATTCAAGGAATGCGGAAATAGACTCCACCTCTGAATGGAAGCTGTTGCAAAGTCACATTGTAATCAGTCTACCACAAGTAGTTGCTGCCATTATTATCTGTATATTATCAATGGTGAAACTGCGGCTACAGGAGGTCGAGGCCTTGCCCAAGTTCACGTAGCTGGTACGCGAAGAGCCCGAACTTGTACTTGGCTCAGTAGACGGTGGAGAGCCTGGAAAGATCCTGAGCAGGAGAGCGATGCTGTCAGCAGAGATAGAGGAGCCGGTATTTCTCTGGCTACATGCTGGCAGCACGGAGAATGCAAATCCTGATGATTCCAACATCAGTTCATCCTATTTTCAACTCAAGCGTACTGCCTTGGGACATCACGTTCTCTGCAGTGGTGGTATCGACTTTGAAAGACACCCTTACTGGGGTTGCTCTTGCTCCAGCCTTTGAAAAAACCAAGCACTGTCCCTTCAGGGCGCCTCCCGAGCACCGCCTGTGGCTGTTAGCCAAAGGGGCCTGTCACTGCAGGTGACGCTGCAAGGGCTCACGCAAGTAGTTACGTAAGAGCGCCGCATGGAGTCGCCATTGGCTGAGCGCTTTGGAGAATGAACAATTAGCATGGACCCAGTATCCCAGCCGCCTTACTTGTCATTGGCTGGAGGTCGAGGCAGGGCAGCATGGGACCCCTCCGGGAGCCAGACGCAAGCCGGAAATCCAACCTTGATCAGACCTGGGCTCCCGAACCGGAGACCTGCTAATTCTGGTGACTGGACGCATAAAGCCAAACAGTGGCTTGATTTTCTCCCAGGTCAAGGACAACGGACCTTTTCTAAGTAAGATTGCTCTCAGATCACAGATTCTGAGCCATGTTTACCATTAATTACAAGGTGGCCCCTGGCCTAGGAGAGAGTCTGTGAAGCTTGGTGGAAGGTTACGAGAACGTGCTTTGAAAAAGAGGTTAAGAACGTATATACACCCCATTTCCTTTCTGTGTGTATCTTAGACATGGGCCTTGACCTCTCGGGGCCTTGGTTTCCTCTTCATACATGAAGATGGTAACATCTACTTTTTAGAGTTGTCACCAGAATTCAGCGATCGGGGGTGTGGAAGTCCTACCAATGGCCATTGTGATCAGGAGCGGCCCTGCATCATCAGAAGAGGGAAATCGGAACCTAGCCACGCTGCCCAGGAAGAGCCAAGTGTATGCAAGGAATCAGACCACCCCTCACTGCTTTCAGCGTTAATATTTGATCATTAAAGTTCTGCTCACTGTGCCCTGCTTGGGGACACCTGCTGCATCAGTGGGTTCTCGAGACTGGCCGCGTGTTACAATCGTTTGGGGAGCTTTAAAAGATCTCACTACCCAGGCCCATCGATGCCATCAGAACCTCTGGGGTGTGGCCCAGCAACGGGTATTTGTAAAAGCTCCCCGATAGGGTTGGGACCAGGGGAAGGCGAACGGGCCGCCTGGTGTGCACAATGTAAGGGGGAACCCCACAGTCAGGTGCCGCCCGCTTGCAGGGCCCTGAGAGTGCCCCCTGGGTACCTCGCTCTGCTCGCCCTGGCCCTTAGATCTGTTCCCCGGGTGATTCCAATGGTCAGTGAAGGTGCTAGTAATTGGGTTTTTTGTTTGTTTCTTTGTTTTAAAATTTATTTATTTTGAGAGAGAGAGAGAGAGAGAGAGAGAGAGAGAGAGAACAAGCAGGGGAGGGCAGAGAGAGAGAGGGAGAGAGAGAATCCCAAGCAGGCTCTACACTGTCAGTGCAGAGCCCCTTGTGAGGCTCAATCTCATGGACTGTGAGATCTTGAGCTGAGCTGAAATCCAGGGCCGGATGCCTAATGGACCGAACCACCCAGGCACCCCAAGTGTATGTTTTTAAGGAATCTCCACACCCACTGTGGGGCTCAAACTCACAACCTCACATCACGAGTGGCTCTTCTGATGATTCAGCCAGTCAGGCACCCCAGGAGGACTTACTCTTCAATGCGTCTCACGGCACTTTTTTTTCTCGACCTTTCTCAGAGGGACCCCCTGCACTCCGGTGACCAAAATTGCCTTGCAAATAGCACTGGGCTTTCCACCAGAAGGGTCTACTTAAACAAACAAACAGACCAACCAACCCAAAACCAAACCCTCTTTTCTCATAGCCCCTGATGGTTACGTGTATCGTGTGCGACTCCATTAGGTCCTTCCCGCGAAAGTAGGCATCACGTTCGCTCGCTGTTATATCCCATCGTGTAGAAAAGGGCGTGACACGTAGAGGCATTTTCCAAAACAAGAATAGGGGCGCCTGGGTGGCACAGTAGGTTAAGCGTCCGACTTGGGCTCAGGTCATGATCGCACTGCTCGTGAGGTTAAGCCCCGCGTCAGCCTCTACGCTATCAGAACAGAGCCTGGCTTTGGATCCTCTGTCCCCCTCCTCTCTCTCTGTCCCTCCCCTGCTCTCACTCTCTCCTCCCCCCTCTCTCTCAAAAATAAATAAAAACATTAAAAAAAAAAAACCCCAAGTATATGAATGAATGAATGGACCTAGACTCTATTTTGTCTTCTCCCTTTGGACCTCGTGGTCTGATTTCGCCGGCCTCGCATCCACACCTTGCACGCAGTAGGAGCACAGAAAACACTGAATGGAGTCCAGGGCAAAGCACCCAGCGCCCCCCGTCTCAGCCTGCGAGTCACTCAGAGATGCTCTGGAGAAAAGGTGCTGAGAAGCTCACAAGCCCTTGTGCCGAAAAGCCTGGTGCCAAAAACAGGAGCCTGCTACCCACAGGTGGCCGGCAAGGCTGGACCAGGCTGCACTGGAGACTGGGGTGGGGAGAGGGGGCCCGGGGAAGCTCCCGGGCTCGTGTGGCCCGGAGGGGAGCAGAGAGGAGGCTTCCTCTTTGCTCTCCACTTGGCCTCCTAGGGCCCGAGGTGGAGTTTTTGCTAAGGTTGGCGGAGGGGCCCAGAAGCTCAACTTAACATCAGATAGGTTACCGGCTGCCTGTCTTTGAGGACCTTTATCTATGAAAGAGGCCCCGTGATTCAGACCCATACAGCAGCCAAAATCTTTTCTTTATTAAAATGCTTTGTGCTCCAGGATACCAGGGTGTTAAGCTGATCTGTCTCTGAGAGTGTGTTTGCCGAGAGCGCACTATTAGATACTTTGTCTCCTTTAAAATAATACTAAGAGACGGCTTTGCATCCCTCGGCTCTTGCCCTGTGTGGCTGCCTGCAGAACGGCGCCGGGACAACACATGGCCCTTCGGAAAGGGCCTTGAGGGACCACGAAATGAGGTCTTCCTGACTGCCTCGGTCCCCGGCCGTTTGCAAGCTGGAGAAAAACCAACCGCTTTGATCCTGAACGTGTCATTTGTGAAGACAGCGTTATCCCCCAGAATGAAGATGATGCCCGGGTGTCGGCATCTCTCGTCGCAGATACTACCGAGTGGCTCACGGTAGCACTCCTCGTGGATAAAATATTGCATCGGGATCATTTATTTATAAAGAAAATAGTGTCTATCCTGGCATCATGACCTCCTCCATCTCTCACCCCATGTTCAAACCCATTCGTATTTGGAAGCTAAAACGTATACATCTGATTATCCCTCGGCACCTCGTGATTTAAAAAAGGAAGGGGGGGGGGGGGGGAGAAAAAAACCCGACAGCAAATCCTTTAAAGGGATTGCTTTTTATGGGCCCCGTGCACAGAGTTTTGTGTTTCTCTGAGCATGTAAAGGCATCTCATAACACATACAGTGTCAGTATCCTCGGCAGGCTGGAGTCGTAAATAACCACCCTCTTAAGCGGCGCGATATGTATTATTTTTCTCCTGTGAACCTGGGGCCTCCCACACACGATTCTTCCATTGCAAATAATAAAATGTGGGCGAGATCAGGATTCCTAATTCAAGAATAAACCAGAAGAAATGTTGTATTTAAAACTGCATGAACGCTGGGGTTTTCAGAGCGACACCAGTGAGCAGCGAGCGACGTCTCTTTCTGCCCAAATCTGAACCGCCTAAGCCCTGCACTTCGCCATTTAAATATCTCTTGCTTGGGTTACCACAAAGAGCCTTTGTACAATATTCTGCAAAGCCGTAGGCATAGGATTATGTGTTCTTACATGTCTTATTTTAGGCATCAGCAGCAAAGTATACCAAAGGCAAATTTATGTTTAGAACTATCAATAAAACATAACAGAGAGTCTGCTAAATTAGTAATCATGGAAAACCCGCCCGGTTCTCTCTCACGCGCGTTCTCGCTCTCTCTTCTCTTTTAATATTACAAAGCAACTTTTAAAGTATTTGCCTTTGGTGTGAGGGTGGTCTCGGAAGACGACGTGTACTTAAATATCTCAGAGGTACCTGAAGGCCTTATTTTTGGACGGGGAGAGTGTCAAGGGACAGCTAAACAAAAATCTAATAATGGTTTTAAGTTAAATGCCTTCAAGTTAAATACCGTCAAGAGCTCTTGCAATCAAATGTCCGTCACGAAAGGCGTAATGTATCAGCAAGATGGGAAAGATACTGTTTGTCAGCAGTTGTGATTAACGCAGATGAAAAGATAGTCTTGCCCAGGCCTCGACGAGCTGCGTTTCAATCTCACGGACACCAAGAGACGGCACATGAAACTATTTAGCCAAGAGGGAAAACCATGCCCCGTCTTACCGCAAGGCCGCTGGATTTTCTAAGGGGAACGTGAACAGGAAAGGCCAAAGGGAAGATGCTCCCTCTGAGGCAGTGGAGGGTGAGGTCCTGGCAAAGAAGAAAGCCCTTTCTTTGTGATGGGTCTCACACTCGGAGGGAGAGCTTTTCCCATCAGGGGGGCGGGTGGTGGAGGGGACAGCCATCTGGTCCCCCCAGCAGGCAGCATGCAGACAGGCGTCTGGGTGTGGTTTCTCTTTGGTGCCGGAATCATTTGCAAGAGGCCGAAAGACTAGGAAACACAGACCATCATCTCCCCGGGCTGCTGGGATGTGAGCGCTGGAAGGCCTCCGAGATCAGTTGGCAAAGTGGGTTTCGTTTTCCTTTGAGCCTCAGAACTGTGTCTTCCCTCAAAATATTATGCAGAACCCTGATTATGAAAGAGAGAAAAGCAGGATGGTCTGGTTAAGGTGGGGCTCGGGGGGCTCGGAATCCCACCCACCGAGCCCCCGACCCTCCTCCTGCGAGGGCTTCCGAAGGGCGCCTAAGGGCTCAGCAGAACCTAACTGTAAACCACGGCCCGTTAACTTCCCTTGCCCCCAATCACAGAGGAAGGAGGGAAGGCTCAGTGAGGGGGAGCGACTTGTGCAAAGTCACACAGCTCACTAAGGGCAGAGAGGGACTGGCAATGCCCCCAAGGGCTTTGCACGCGACAGTTGTTAAGATTCAGAGCAGACCACCTGTTCTGGTGGCCGCTGCCTTGCCCGCGACCACGCTTTGCCGCCTGCAGAAGCTGTGCATATATGTCCATGCCGTTCTGTCTTCACCGCTGCTTTATTTTTCCTGGCAGCGAGCAGGACCACTTATTACTAAGCAGATTTAAAGATGAAAAATAGCCCTAGTGACTATTTGCACCTATCATTTTTTTTTTTAAACACTGGATGCTTGCCATGTCTGTTTCATCCTTTTGGTTTCCCTTAAGGATAGAGAAGCTGGGGCTTCGGCTACCGTTCGGACTTCCGTGGTGCTCTCGGCTCAACGCCTCCCCACAGTTCTCTCACCCCACTCGAGCCGTGTGGCTCAGGCTGCCCAGCTCTTGCAGAACGCCAGCCCGCTGACTTCAGTGGGCCAGCCTTCACACCGGATAGAACCACAGATACGAAATGCAGAAAGTGTGGCTCAGCCGTATTCCACCCCAAGGGGGACTGACTCTCTTTGCCGTGACAGAATGAATTCTACCTGCTGAGGATGAGTCTGAGGAGGAGAGAGTAAGCCCCGGGATCCAGTTGTTCAGCTTTTACTGCGGACAAGTTCCACCGGCAACCAGAACCCTCACTTGTCCATCCGCCTTACCCTTCCTTCCATGGTGCGCAATCAACAGGGCACCGGGGCTTGGAAGTGGAGGGTTTGGGGTCTGGAATCATGTAAACAGGGTCACCACTAACTCTTGACTTAGAGCAAGTTAGTCCATTGCTCCTTATGTCTCAGTTTTTCCATCGATCGAGGGAGGGCGATAACGGTACTTGTCTCAGAGAGCTTGAGGAGAGCTGAGTTTCTAGCACTTGGTCCTGGAAAATCATCCTTCATGTTTCACTCCGTCTCTCAATTCAGGAATGCGATGCTGTGTGTTAGCAGGGAGGGGGCAAGAGGCTACAGGAGAGTCAGGGCAGATGAGGGCCAGGAGGGTATTCACCTTGACCCCAGTTCATTCCGTGTGGAAATGCCAAATGGAGCTCCCTATACCTGGTCAGTACTCTGTGCAGGTGGATTCCTGTCCAGGGCTGGGGACTCTGGGGGCCCTAGTGAATGCACCCCTGTAATCTTCTGCTCGGCCTAGCGTCTCTACACATTCGTGAGTCCCTTGGTATTACGAAATCTTAACAGTCTCTGAATCTGTGAGCATCTTTTTATCCAGAATACCACCTTCTGGGACGTCCGGGTGGCTCAGTCGGTTAAGCGTCCAACTCGTGGTTTTGGCTCAGGTTATGATCTCACGACTTTGTGGGTTTGAGCCCCGCGTCGGGCTCCGTGCTAGAAGCATGGCGCCTGCCTGGGATTCTCTCTCTTTCCCTCTTTCTCTGTTCCTCCCCAACTTGCACTGTCTGTCTGTCTCAAAATAAATAAACTTAAAAAAAATACCACTTTCCCATTGTGACTAGCATGCTATTATTTTCTTTCCATACCCCCTGCTAACTAGTTTGAGTTGGGGTTTTAGCCTTTGTAACCAAGGGAGCCCTACATTTAGATACATCTGCTCCCTAATTCCAACACCAGAGATGGAATCCCTTCCCTGTTGCCCCCCCACCCCATGTTTTACTGAAATACCACGTTGGATCGGGTTGATCTGTAGGCAGAAAAGAACTTATTGTCTCAAACATTTCCTGAGTGCCTCTAGAAAAGTAAGAGGCAAACAGCAATACAGCCTATTGAGGGCTCCTAAGGAGAGGGCAGAGAAAGATCTGGGGGTTTGTAAAGGAAAGGGGATTGCTTCTAGCTCGGGGTCTTAGGAAAGGGTTCACAGGGCAGGTGGCTTTGCTCTGGGTCTCGAGGAGAAGGGCACATCGGTGACAGAGGTTCTGGTCAGGACAGTGCCGGGTAGACTGGAGGCAGTGACATCCCTGTATGAGCATGTTCAACGTGCAACATCACTGAGGGACAGATTGGGGTCTGTCCCTACTGACAGTAATAACACGTAACATTACTTGAGTTCTTATTTGCCAGATTTCTCTTACTCTGCAGACAGATCCTGAATTTGTTCCCCTTTCACATGAGAGTTCACGTGTGTAAGTGGCAGAGCTGGGATTCAGACTTTTGCCAAGTCATCATGCCCTGGGGAGAGGCTGGGACAAAAGTGACCCTTGCCCTTCCGAAGCTCACACTCCAGTATGTGTTGAGAAGAATGTAGATTTCACTCTTTCTCGTGCCATTGTTTTTATGAATACCAGTTACCTGGAGCGGTGTGTGGTTCTTGAGTTTGTGCGAGGACGTTTGTGGTTATATCTCCGGGACGTCAGCGGGTCTGATCATATTGGTTTTCACGTTTTGTCTGGGAGTGCTAACACAAGATTCTCTTTCTTCCCCTCAGGGGCATGAACAAAGACACAGGAAGCAGTCCAAGCTGCTGAAAGTCCTTTTGGGACTGGGAGAGGAAATGTTTGCTGACGTTAGAGTCATCACCAAGCACATGGAGCAGAAAAGTGAAGAGAGAAGCCGGATCCTGGTGACCTCACTGGGCTCCTGGATCATGCCTCACCTGAAGCAGATCCAGCCCTGGATTTTACAGTCACCAAAGTCAGTTTGAGTCAGGCGTCCATTGGAAGACGGAGCTTATAGTTCAGGAGGCTGCGGGGGCCACGGTTGGTTTGGGAAAGTCTCTTCCGAGTCCCAGTTTGCCACATGGTCTTTTCGTGACCTCTCTTCTCCAGGTCTCAGTTTCTTTATCTGTAACATGAGAAATTCAGATAGAAACAGCAGTAAGGATGAGGATGATGGTCACGATTACCACTTATCAGGCATGTTCTGCTTGCCACCTGCTCATCTGCTCTGCTGAGGGTTTGTATATGCAATATCTCATTTAGTTGGGGCAGCAGCCTCAGGAAGTAGTAACAGAAGGCAAGCTGATGCCCAGAGAGATTGAATCACTTGTTTAAGGCCATGCAGCACAACTGGTTAATAACAGAGCTGAGATTTACTTCAGGCATCTAACCCGATGGACCCTGATTTTTTTTTTTTTTTTTTCTAGAGACCGGCTTCTTCATGGTAAAACCCCTCTCATGGTCTAGGAGGGCTGGGGCCACCGCTGTCATTCATACTTTATTCTCCCAGCACCAAGCGTAATAGTCG